TTTCACTCAATTGTGGTGTAATAAATCAATTGATAGGTGGGCTATGAGGTACTTGTTTCCGTCTTATTTGCGTTGTTCGGATACATTACAATTCGCTCTACAAAAAAGTTCAACAACACTAAAAAAAAAGAGACCGATATGATGCCACAAGCTCAAGAACCATAAACTGGTTTATAGGTAACTTGGCTCTGATCGGGTTTAGGTCAAAAACGAAAATTTTGCCTATTCACTGATTCGTTGAGATGAAAATGATTCTTATCTGGCGGATGACTTTCTTAAAATATTTTACAAAAATTTCAGAACGCAAAAATTCGAATACGCCTAAGTGTCCAAGTAGGTAAGAACTGCGTCTACCAATTCAGTGTTCGAGAATTCAAGTCTCAAGTACAGTAGAGTTTTCTTTCGTCGTAGATATGAGGTAAAGGTTGATTGAGCACAAACCCACTAGGCTGCGGCTACTAGGTCCGCATTTCTTTCTCTTTCCTTTGCTCTTTCTGCCACTCACCATATTACACGAAGGGGGGACATCGACTGAGTGATTAGTCATATTAAAAAAGAAAAAATATATTAATAGATATAGACCGACTTCGATTCGTCTTTGAATTTTACACCGGCCAACAACGCATGCCCGCTTCGTAAGATCTCTCACGCGTTTTTTTAGGACGTCGCAAACGAGACGACAAATCTAATATATTTCCATTCTTCGGTCATGTAAAACTTTTTCTTGTTCTTTTTCTTCTTAACGAATATTTGCTAAATTAAGATGATTGATTAAAGAGATTTAACGTTGTTGCGCTTTTCGTTTCTAAAAATTGATTTATTTTAGGAGGAATTACTTTTTTTATATTCTTATTTTTACACAATGAAAAAGATGAGGAAGAGAAGAGAATACAGGGTGGTTGTTGTGTTCTTGTAGTACTATCACCCTGTACATTAATGACGCTTTTATCGCCCCGAGTTCGGATGAGGAATTCGGCAAAAACATTATAGAATTCTTACAACTTTTGTAGCTTGGTTCCACATTTTTCTTAAATTTCAAGACAACAATAACTAAAAGCAATATAGAGAAAATCCCGCTTTTTCCTAATGAAAAAAAAAAGTTCTTTAAGTAAGTTTTTCATGTCAACATTTGTTTTTTTTTTATATCCTACATTACCTATGGTGCAAATAAGTTTGTGCGGACATACACAACACGCAGAAGAACTTGAGATCGATGAGAAATGGAATAAGAATATCACATTCGAAGCATGTCGACTAAGTCAATTATAATACTAACCGGTTGGCAACCCCGCTTCCTGTTCGATCATAAGTGTAGACAAGAAGAAGGTGACTTCCGACTTCCTTCTTCTTGGCTGAACCGCCTTAGGGATAAGACACAAAAGTAAGGAAAAATAAAATCCGTTCATCCGCTATGCCCGCACGATCTAGGTGCCGTATCCGAGGTAATTGGGTTAAAAAAGCGTTTGATCCGTTTATTGACAATTGACAATTAAATGTAAATATCCTAATTTTAAGGTTAGCGGCTTAACTTTCTGATAAGATAAATCAGTATATAATCAGAAGTCTAACTATAATGTCAAGAGATATTAGGGTTTCTTTCTTTTGAACTTAAATGAAAGAAATCACCAAGGTAAGGACGCCTGCAATAACCCGGCATCATTGTACTAAAAATTATCAACTATCACAATACAAACACACATAAGTCAGTCAATGTCATAATTTTTTTTGTAACAAAACGGTTTTTTCGTAATTATACCGTACACCACTTGTGCTTAAGTTTGTGCGGGTCTATATAACACGCAAAAGCGCTTAAGATAGACTCACTTTTTATTTTATCGATCGATTTAGAATCAGCCTGTTTATCCGTCTGTCCGCTTAATGTCTTTCCATCGAAAGTTGTGTTCAAGCTACCGGTCGTAATTTTTGAGATATTTTGACGAAATTTGGTACACTGACGTGTTTTGATTCAAGAACGAACACTGTTCTAAATGGTTTGAATTTCGTCGTTTCGAAGACTTCCAATATAATGCCTTGCTTTGAAAAGTCGTTATATGCAAAACATTGCAAATTTTCAAAATTTCCCAACAAAAGTGGTTAAGCAATAGTATTTCGGAATTCCACATTGTTGTGAACACTTTGGACTGATTCGGGCAATTTTTGAACAACCCTCTGATATAACGAAAACTGAAATGCATATGACAAAAAAGGTTCAATTTTCAATGAATCATGATGAATATCAGATCATAACAGTAATTTAAAATAGAAAAATCATATTTAGACTATCTCGGCCTAACTTTCGCATCGCGCCCTATATTTACATCTTCGATCCTTTGTAGGGTAGAAAAGTCTAAACTTTAATATGTTATGATGAAAGTGGCACTAAATATAACAGTAATTTGATAAAAAAATTAACTCCACAAACCTTGGACGACGTAAGCCTCTTTTTAGACTCTATCCTATATAAAGATTTTATATAGAAATTACACAAAATTTGTTCTTTTTTAGAGCAGAAAAGTCTAAGTTTTAATATTTTATGATAAAAATTGATCCATAATAGCAGTTTGATCTAAAAGTGTTGAACACAAGCATTCTTATGAAAAGCAAGTATTTATTTGAAAAGAGGGCTAATTATTAATATACAGTTCCACAATAGCAAGTTCATACAGAACCAGAGTATAATTTTTGTGTTCAATAGCAAAAATAAGAATGGTGTTAGACAATGTGGTGTAGAGTATTTAATTGTTGGCCTAGCCCGATTATAATGTTTTCGCTTGCTTTTCATTTCGTCACTAATGAACAAAGTTTTTAAATTTAACTTTCTCACTTTTATACATATAAATAACAAACTTTTTCTTTTTAATTTCTTATTTCAAATATGTTTATAATACGATCGCTTATCAACCACATCAGCATATTTACTTTCCATTATTTTGTTGCCGATTCAAAAAACAAAAAACCGCTTCCAAAGTAATTCAAATAATTTAGAGTAAATGTATCGACGTGTGTGTATCAGAAATTTTCAGAGTCTACAGGATTTTGAGATGTATTATCTTCTGCTTTGCAATCTGGACATCGTGGAGATTACAATTTGGAGATTCATTCATTGTTCGATTTATCTACCTTCAATTACGTAATATAAGGCCAGTTAAGTTAAAATTTCAATTAAATTCGATAAAGTTTTTTTATATAGCCGCCTTATTCTGCAGACGATCACTGTTAGATCACTAACCATATCTTTTTTTGGCTTGATCTCTTTGTGTTTTGTTGGTCTTGTGTCGAGATTCCAAAAACATAACATGATTTATCATGCAATCTTCAGCACGTCACTGAGTATATTCTCTTATATAAAATGAGAGAATGATGCTGAATAATAAAAAAATTTTTAAAAATTGAACGACAACATAAAAGCGTATAAGAAATAGACGAAAGCATAGTTTTACTCCAATTTTGTGGAAAATAAGCATTACTAGGCCTACAAAAAGCTTTTTGGTTTTTTTAAGTCACTTATGAAAGAATTTCATTTGAACGCGGCTTAAAAACTCGCTAAAACGAATTAAAATATATATTAATAATTTATATTCAGTTTGATCCACTTCATAACGCTACCTTTTTTTATAGTATTTTATAGCTATAGCATGTTAGCAACCCTGATTTAATACGAAATTTATTTTACAAAGTTTCGACGTCACTTTTGCTTCAGAATACGGAATTTGGTACAAAATAAGATAAGCATTGACAAGCAAACCGAAACACAAATTTTATGGCCATTTTAAGGATGGCAATGTCAAAATAAGGTTCTCATTATTTTTTCGCTGTTTTACTATCTCCTCTCTCTTTCTTCGGGAGCATTTAAACTCACAGAGAATTTCCTAACCCTACAAATGGACATTAGTAGCGAATGTTTCGAATACTACATTTATATCAAATCGCAAAATGAGACTTTCGCTTAAAAGCTCAACATGGAATGTTGTCTTCCGTGGAACAATGGTTGACAAACCAATAGGCGAAATAGCTATCTTTGATATTGCATTCCCTACATGCGCCAATGTTGCATTTTTCGGGTATCCTGTGAGGAGTTGTTTGTTACGATCTCGCCTGGGATATTGTACTTATTTTCTTCGATTAGTGAGTTTTCATGTTCATAAGCACTTTCGACAAGGCAAGAGAATATTTGGCATATGCGTGAAAGATGAATGAATTTGGCTGCACTGGTGCAAATTAGTCAAATTCCTTTGTTCTTTTAAATTTTCCCTTGATCTTATTATGTTTCTTCATGAAATCTTCATGAAATTGAAGGCATAGACCTAAAGCATTCTCCTAAAATTGTGATAAGAGATATGAGTACAGAAACCACAGAATCTTTATCGCTAATTTTTTCTTTTATACAAACTACTAAATGAATTTCAGAAAGCGCCTCCTGAAAAGTGAAGGGAAGATAGTTTAAGATTCCGTTTTCAGAGTGTAAACCAAATAACATATGTATCTATAACCATATAGTAACCATATAAATCGATTAGATAATATTCCATTTTAGCATCCTTAAGAAAACGCAATATTCGCTATAGAGTAAATATTCTATCTTTAAAATTATTAATGTGCTACGAGTACATGTGCACTTACCTGAATTCGTCCATTCCATCTATTATTGTATACATAAATAAAGATAAAAATATATATACGAATAAATAATTTAGTGTCAATAAATAGCGATTGTTGAAAATTCAAAAGTATTCCAATATTTGAAGTTGTGAACGCCTTCAAAATATCTGGAAAGCATGGTATTGTTTTATTGCCAATATTGGTAATTCGTTGCTATTTCTAAATGTTATCATTGAACAAGAACTATAAACTAGAAGAAGAGATACAAAAGTGAAATTTCCAAAGGCATACTTATTATTTTTTCGGTAGAAAAGATTTTACTACTTGTGTTAGTTGTGTTGATGAAAATACTTTTACAATACAAGTGTGCTGCTGGTAACCATCTTTGCAACTCTGCGTATTTAATGTTCGAAAATGGTTGCCGTTTCCGTTTCGATAATTCATCTGTCTTTCCGAAAAACGACGATTGCAAGTCGACACCATGAGGTACGGTTTTTTGTAAATAATGCAATAAAATAACGAGATAGTGCAATATTATTTAAAGCAAAGCGCGCGAAAAATGTGAAATAATTTATATACGAAATTTTCACGAAGAAAAATGTCTTTTTCATTTGTTATTGCAGTTCTCTTAAACTTCAAAAGAGGCTTGCAGCCTCTGTTATGCGTTGCGGTAAAAAGAAAGTATGGTTGGATCCGAATGAAATTAATGAAATTGCCAACACAAACTCACGTAAGGAAACAGCAGCAATAAACAGATTTGACTACATTATTTATCGCAATGTAAACTTTTTGCAGGACAAAACATTCGTAAATTGATCAAAGATGGTTTGATAATTAAGAAGCCTGTGGTGGTGCACTCCCGTTATCGTGTGCGTAAAAACACCGAGGCACGACGCAAAGGTAGACACTGCGGTTTTGGTAAACGTAAAGGTACCGCGAATGCCCGTATGCCTACAAAATTTTTATGGATGCAACGCCAGCGTGTTCTTAGACGTTTATTAAAGAAATATCGTGATAGCAAAAAGATCGATCGCCATTTGTATCATGATTTATACATGAAGTGCAAGGGTAATGTATTTAAAAACAAACGTGTGCTTATGGAATACATCCACAAAAAGAAAGCTGAAAAGCAACGCAGTAAAATGTTGGCCGACCAGGCTGAGGCTAGAAGACAAAAAGTGCGTGAAGCGCGTAAACGGCGTGAGGAGCGCATCGCCAATAAAAAGCAAGAACTTTTAAGTCTGCACGCAAAGGAAGATGAGGTGGCCGCTCAAGCAGCTACAACTGGCAAAAAGTGAATCAAGTAGCGAAGTTCTTGTTATGATAAAAGAAATTGTTTTGATAATAAAAAAGAGGAAAACAACAAAAGCGACTTTCTTGTTAAACAATTGGATGGAATATACCAGTCATTAGTAAATTTTACTTATTTCCTAGAAAGTTTTAATAATAATTTTATTAACAAAGTTTTCTTTTACTCGGGCAAACAAAACGACGTCACTAGAATTTATACATGCTAACTTTAGACACGTTTCATTTCGTTAATCAAATCGAGGGGTTTAAAATGATTCACAACATTGATCGTCCAGTCAGATTCGTAACCACTGGTAAATTCCTTAATGAAACGATAATTACAGACGAAGACCTTATCTTGATATTCAGGCATAGTGCCCATATTCCAAGGTATTTCTTCACCTGATTCTCGAATTTCATGAAGGCCCCTCAAAATGTGAAACACCATCGTTATTTCAACCCAACGCTTCTGAATTTTACGTCCACTTGACTCGTCAAACATTATACCCACTTGATATGGGAACGTTAGATAGACATCACTCTCTTGCACTTCTAGCTGACGTCTTTGCGAAACCGATAGTTTTTGTATAACCGGTTTTAGTTCGGCTAAAGCTTCGTCTGTGACCAAATTGTTAAGTCCAGAGAAGTCACTATGCATAAGTTTAACTGAAACCACCTGAAATGACATGCGTTAGAAATGATTTATTTGTGTCATTTCAAAAGAAATTCAAACCACCTGCATAGCTTTCCTGGCTCCCCGTATAAACTCTTTTAAATAAAATTCTTTATCGAAATAGGGTCGAATAATTCCGTAGACTAAAACCCAATTTCTCATCGAATTGAACATTGACGGCCACATTATCTCGGGGAAATTCATCAATCTTGGTAATGTGCGCTCATTACCACTTGGGGATTCGGGATTCGGCGGAGGTGGTTGGATGCGTTCTTTCTTTTCCTCTTCCCTAACCGGTTTTGGAGAAATATCACCATATTGAAGATAAGTATTGTGTAAATTGTGATCAATGATCAATGAATTTGAGGTATTCTTGAGTATTTTTTCATGTACAAAGCCGCCATTACTTTCTGCTAACAGTTGCGGAGCGGATAATTTAAAATTAGTGCTTAATAAACGAAAAAATGACGTTAATTGCAATCTACCACTCCAGCTGATGTTCATTATGCAAAAATACCAAAAGTTAACAAAGAAATTTGCTTACAAACACAAGTTTACCGAAGAAATAGCAAATATTGCAACAAAAAAAAATAGTAGACAAAATATATTTTGACAAATTACTAAATGAAGGGTAACTTTGCCGCATACATTTTGCCCAACTTATTTTACAAAATACAACTCTAAAATAAGAGATCGTAAAGATCGTAAATGCAAACTGTAAACACGATAAAAATAAGAAACATAAATTTTTGCAAAATAACGTAATAATAATGGGAATGACTTTTGCCAAAAATTAATAAATTAACATTATTTGTTTATAATGTACAATATAATTAAATTTCCACTACTTAATAAAGCAGAACTATTCAAATATTTCTATTCTAGAAAAATAAGCCGTGTTCTCGTATAAAAAAAGGAGTTTAGATCTGTGATAAATATTGAAATTTAATTAAAATTTAAAGCCGCCCTAAAACCTCTGAAAGAGTAGTAGAGAGGAATGAAAGACGAAATCGGACAATTAGTTGAGGTTAAAGAAATTATTTACTAAATTTCTTACTCATATATCACGACGCAAGCTATTCTTTGCCAGCTGTATTAATTGAGTCCACGATACTAACATTGAGCGATTCTGTTTCACGGAACACCTTACCCAAGGACATTTTACCTAATTATTAAAACACTGGCAGCATTTTTTTCTTACATTTATTTAAAAACAAGTGAAAACTTTTGTTTGTGTTTACAAAATACTGCACGATTGAATTTCATTATTTTCGGGAATCGGAGATAAAATATCATTTGTTACGTTGTTCGGTGGAGACTGTTGAATTTCTGTCATTGTCACTGCATAACATAAGAAATATTTAATGAATATATGGAAACTTATGTTCATGTAATAATATGTACTTTTTCAATTTCCGCCACTTACAAAAGATCCGATAGACTCGAGGTTCTAATGGGATTGTTAATTCGACGTTGGCCTTTTCTAGAGTTTCTCGGGCGCTTTGAACACACTTGAACATTTCTACTAAAACATTAGCCGAATAAGCTTGATACAGATTTAGGCGAGAATCCCAAAAGAATGGTAAATTTCTATGATTGAAACTTTTTTCCATGTCTTTAAACATCTTTAAAAAATAACATTCAAGAATTGTTAACGACACTTATTGGTTTTATTATGACTTACATCAATCAAAATCAACGGTAAAGATTTTCGCCAATAGCTCGTGTAATTTTCTTCTTTTACTTTCCATAAAAATAAGGTTTTTATAAAATAACTCTTCATTTTCAGCATGTTTTGATGCGCATCTCTGAATTTTTTCAACATTCGCAAAGCATTCTTTAAATTATGTTTATTGTCAATTAGTTTATGTTCTTCCCGATAATATGACGCGCGAAATGAAGTGTAATCTTTCGGTCCCAGGAACAAAGGCTTAGGTATTGCTTCCCACTGGCCTACGCCTGGCAAAATACTTTGCTTTTCCTCCAGCAGAATGCCTGGGACAAAATCAACGGAATAGTTAAAATCTACATCACCGGTTACTTCTACAGTGTGGGCTGGTCCCGCTCGTGTATAACGCAGTTTGAATACTTCGTTGTTGACGTTTATTCTATAATCAAGTTCTTGCATTGCCTTGGTAAAGCAGCTAAAGAAGTACGATTGTAGTTTGTTAATAATTAAATAATTCTTTTCATTAACCCAACGCAATAGGTGCTTATAAATTACTTCGTTTTGTTTTTCTTTACGAATCTTTTCCATAACTTTGGTTAGATCAATGTGGACATTGCCAGGTAGATCATTATCTTTCCGCACTGAAATAAGATTATTGTCGGGGAATCTTATGTGGAAAACAAGATCATACTCATTTGGTTTAGTTACTTTCAAGTTATCTCCATAGCTGCCTGCAATAAAAATATTCAAGAATTGTGACCATGCGACAAGAAAAGAATGTATTCATTCTAATTGACAGGTAGAATTACAATAACGTTACCATAATATTAGGTGATTGCAAAAGTTTTGATCAGGGACTTCTACCGGTAAAAATTATAAAGAAATGAGTAAGATCAGTGTACGTAACGTTTGAATTCGATAGTTTTGACCTTTCTCTACATAAAATAACGGTATTTCATTTAATATTATTGATTTATTCAGCCTAAACGGAGCTAATCGTGAAACACTCAAAATTATTCTTCATCCAAAATCATTATCTTTGTTGTTTATTTGAAGAAATCTGCTGCTGAAGGGAAGAAGGGAAAAAAGCGGGATAATCTTTTTAACTTTTATATTTATAATAAAATATATTATAATAGGGCCATCCTTTAAGAACATTAGCAGCAATCATTTCATTTTTCATGATTTTGGTGCTCTTGCTTAACACATAATCGTAGCTTATTCTTCTCAGAAGCCGATCTTTAAAAACAACCCATCAATTTCTGCTTTGATTCTAAGCCCTTCGCATTTTGTCAAAAAAATATTCAGACATTGTTCAAGAAATCGAAATCTAAGGAACTTCGGCGGGTAACGTGTTGCCAAAAATAGTGTAAAATGTTGTAGAAAATGACGGAAACTATTTTGATTAATGTATATTGTACCAATCTTCTACAATAAAAGACTTTGTTAAGTGAAAAAGTGATAACAATTTTTGCAAACACCTAATAGGGTTTAGACAGTTCAGAGATAGCATTCGAATCATAGTTAGCATAAGACTCGCAACTAATTCGTGCGCGGTATATGCTTACTTTGTTTTTGGAAAGCCCCTTAAGGAAGAATTGATTCCAAAATTTATTACTTTGTAGGCTTATTTTAAAACTCATTAAAAAATAGCCCTTCCGCTGTTTGTTCACGGACCAACCGAAGACAGAGGGAATGTGAAATTTCTTTACATGCAACTATATCCACCGTCTATATTAAGCATGGACTTTAATTCGCTCTTTTGCTTATGGTTGTAAAGCTAAAATTGTTATTGTAAAGTGAAAACACGAAACGTCATTTATTTAAAAATAAATACATTTGCACTTCATTAGTTGCTTATTACATTTTTTTAATGTTTTTTTTTATTAAAAATAAATTTTTATAACCGATGAATTATTACAATTTGACTTAAATTCTACCCAGCTGATCTACTAGTAATATTTAAATATGTGAATAAACTTACCACCCAACTGAAAACCCTTGAATATGCTTCCAAACGGTTCTCTTTTTCTTAGCTTATTAAAAATTGTATCTCTTAATGTGACAAAGTTAGATGCGTATTTTTGACGATCTTTGTCGATATTAATATATTTGTTGATGTCATTTAAGATTTCTTCTAAATTTTTCATATTTGCCGAACGCGTAGAAGAAGTTGTAGAAGTTCTTTAAGTTCTTTACTGAAAATGATAACAATTGCTCAGAGTATTTATATCCCGTAAGTACGCACAAGACACAAAAATTTATTTTAAGAGAGCGACAGCAGGGTAATCACGTATCTGAAAGTTGACTTTCGCTCGCGACAAAGCTTCTAGTTAATAAAATTTTATTTTGCTTTATGTAAGATTTTCGTATCATATTCGTTGCTATCATTCACGTGTAAATGAAAAAAGAGAAAAAGAATCAAAGTACCGTTTATATTTGTGGCTGCCAAAATCAAAAAAATAACAACCGGTGGATAGGCATGTAGGAAAAATTGAGCTTTTGCTTTGTATTCAAAAGGTATTCATGTAACTCAAACTTAGCTGTTACTGCAAACGAAAGCAAAGTGGCATTTTCCATACATGATTATCCGCCGGCTGTTTGGTAAGAATGTTCAGTTAGTTCATTGGTTTCTCACGCTAATAATATAAGCTAACTTTCAGGCACGTGATTACTGTCCAGGGCAATAACCGACACTAAGTCGATCATTTTAGTGAAAAGGCGCTCTAAATTAATTATTTTACCTTTCGTTTGTAAGATTACGTCTTTTCCATTTAATGCTAGCGATGGTTCAAAGTTACACAAGTAAGAAGTTAATTAGTCAATGCATTGTCACAATGTATTGTAAAGGTTTTTAAAATTAAACGACTAAAACTTTCAAATCGATTATAGCCAATCAAGATAGAACACGGCAAAATATGTCAAAAAGTGATCACTAAGATTTTCATATAAAAAAAATTCTTTTTCGTAAAAAAATTGGTAACCCTGACTTTCAATAAGAGTGCTAAGGGAGATATGCTCAATGAATTTCTCTCGTGTATATCTATAATAGCCTATTATAAATAATAATAACTAAAAATGTTTATGTTTATATTTTATGAAGTAAAGAGATATTGAATATCATTACAACTTCAAACGAGCCTGAAGTGTACTCGTTTTTTTATATCAAGAGCAATTACATTTTTTATGTGAATGTATATATGAATACGTGTACAATTTCGGCAAGCATACGAATGAAAATGTAGGTGTTGTGTTTCGATCATTATTACAGAACAAATGAAAAAGATAAACGCTTTTGAATGAATTCCAAAAACAAATACAAAATCTAGTTTGTCTGTCGCGGATTCCTCCAAATTTCAACGAACAACAGTATGTACGCAGGCATCTCCAAGACGAGCGGGTGAGAAAGTTGGGAAAGACATATAACCCTGTTAAAGAGCTTAGTTGCTGCTCAAGCTAAGATTATTGAATAATCTTTTTCTTATTATCAATAACTTCGTTCCTATCACCAGAAGGCGAGGACGTATCCCACTGGCTATAATCCAAATATGGCCATATGAGGCTCTGCTAGATATACAAAACTACTTGAATTGATTCTCGCCATGTCCGTCCGTTCGCCTTGGAGGAAGGAGACCAGAATTTCTTCTTCTTCTTAGAAGAATATCATAGCACTTTGACACTACGGCTCTTAGGAAGTATTGTTTTAACATATTCTATGAATTTACTCAAAACCTTAAAAGCTTCAAGGCATAATATGCTTTAATTTTTGGTCGTTTCGATAGACCTTTAATTAAAAAAAGCAGTTTCAATGAACCTCTCTGGTCCGTTATATTGCCTTCAAGTGAGGTAAAATCCAATTACTATACAAGAGATTTTACATATTTATTGCGGGTTTTGTCATTACATCTTTCTTATCGTCTTTATTGCACAGAGTGTCCATTGCTTATAACAAACCTAGTATAGCTCAATCCTTCACACACGACAATACAATTTCTAGCCTTGTTTATATTAAAATCCACTTATGACTATATTGTAAACAAATCCTTTGTGTGCGAAGTGTAAAAGAATGTCGAAAGAATTCAAAGTCATTATATAATTTATGTACATCTTATGGCGAATTGTTTACAATTATAACGAAAAAGAAAACCTTTTCATTTTCACTTATTAAAGAGGACCATTGTTATAATGAGATTCCTGCTGAGGCTAGCATTACATTACACTTTGTATGCGGTTGAGTATCAGGCACACAAAGTTTTGCTCAAATTTGGGATTTTTATGTAGTTTTCGAATGGTGCCAGCAAATCGAGAGAATAATTAAAAAAGAAAAATAGCAATTATTATCTTTTTGAACACATTTTAAATTGGATATTTTTGGAAAAATTTGTTTTAATATTCAACAAAAGTTCTCCCAAATGCTAACTAATTTATCAACACTTTACTGTTTACTGGCAATTTCACAAGTGGAATGTACGTGCAATCGCGACTAATATTAAATATAAAGAAATTTATTACAAATTATTTTAAAAAAAAAAAAAATTAAAAAAAAAAAAAAAAAAAAAAAAAAAAAACAAGATATTCTGCCTATCCAGGAGTTCCGCAAAACTTCAGAATTTCTCCCTTCGAGAGCCCCTTTTTAGCAATTCATTCAGATGCGCACTTTCTTTTTAAATGAAATCTTGCTTTATCAGTACCTGCCACCCATCAATGAAACAAAATCTCAAGTTTTTGCCATGAATAAAACAAAATCTTATGCATATTTTCTTAATGTTTTCTGGCAATAAAAAAAATAACTAACTTATTTAATGAAAATTTCACAACTCGACTTTTACAAATCAAGTGAAGCAAAAATTGCAGACTCCAAACAAAAATCTCTCTTTTCAAAAAAACTCAAAAATAAATTGCGCCTCTTCACTTCCAATAGACAATTAAAACGGTTGTCAAAAAATTCTTTGATTTTTCGAAATCCAAAATTTCTCTACTTGTTTAACCACAATTCTATAGTTATGATTCTATGGCATTACTGTCAGGCTAAGTTTACAATGTTCCTGTCATACGTCGCATGGTACCGCGGTAAAATCGTAAATATTCGGCCTCTGGTCGAGTATATGCAATTACGAAAGTGGTCAGGACCACACCATAACAACTTAACTAAAAAAAACAAATCTTTCTGTTTTTGGAAGTCTTGCTTCTCATGACCGAAGAGTCCGGAAAAGCTTGAACTTATGTGTGAACTTAATAATTCGTATATCCATTTTAATCCCAAAAAAATACTAACAACTGGAAAAAGGCTTGTATTTTATTTCAAAAAGTTTATATGGCTTGAGGTTCTAAGAGTGGTCGCGTCAGATTTTCGTATCTTGTACATTCATTTACTATTCATACAACTTCGTGATTTTCGTCAATGAACACTATAAACTGAAAATTTTTCCACTTTGAAGGTGCTTACATATATATTGATCAGGAACACGTGTTAACGTGATAAAGTTGAAATCTAACTACGTGGGCAGTATCGTGGTTATCATATGCTTATCTTTTTAATTAAATAGCAATCTTTACCCTTAGATATGTCGAATGATGATGGATGGTGCGATACTTCTGAGCGCAAGAACTTATGAAGCAGAGAAGACGCGCTATGGATGTCAATTCCAAAGTCCAATGATCAAAATCGTCCCTGATGAACACTAGCAATCGGTTCGTCATTTAGCTGCAGTTGAAGAAATTGAAAAACAGCACATTAATCTACCCAAGGCTGTAGAGGTATTGCAAGAACTTATTTTAAAACAACAACAAGAACTTATTAAGTCGATGTCTTACTTCATTAGATGAAATTCAGATATTACGTGATCAATTAATTAATTAATTAAAAACAAAACTGAAAATTTAATTTAATTCAATCTTATTTTAAAATTTTATGGTTAAACCACAAAAGAATTACTAATAAATTTACACTAAGGAGGCAACTAATTAGAAATGCCGAGTCGTATCCTTTTGTTGTTTGATTTTCTAGCGGAGCTCCTTTACTCAAACATTACATTCTTATCGTGCATTTCTTTTTTTTAATATTTTGAGTTTTACGATCTTATTCTAAGCTTTTTATATCGCACCGCAATTTTAACGTTTAATGGGGATCGAATGTTTCATTCGAACCTTTGTCATTTATTGAAAGGAACTCTGTTCTCTCTCTATTCTCAACATATGGTACTTTTTTTTATAAGAAGTTCAACAAAGTGAAAAATTACAGGAGAAAATGAAGGTCTTAAAACAAAATTGCGCGAGTCCGATGAAAACCTAGCAAACTTTCTCTCGTAGATAACTTAGTGACGGTTTTTGCTTGCGGCATCGTAACAGTGATGTAGGAAAAAATGTGGTAAATTGATTCGGCAGCATGGTAGAGCTTAGTCATATATTGTAAAAGATTCAGGGAACGTTCTCACCACTAAACACGACTACTCAAAATACCATCCCTTTTCCGTCTTGCATCGTGTTATTAGGCCAATTCTTCAAAATTTATAGAAATAGTCTTCGCTATCTCTGATTATCGTGGTATCAAGACACGTTGCTGTTTATACCCTACATCACTTGTGGAACAGGATTCAAGGTATCCAAGGTTGAAGTGGTTCGGATCGGTAGACTTTTTTGAAAAAAATCAGCAAGCAACGTTCAAAATTTCTTGGCGAATGTCGTTGAGTGAAAGTATCTTAACATTCTAAATTGCTATGAAAAATTTAGCTCGGCTGGGGCAATTTTTTAAACGCCGTCTTATATAATCGTACCTACGAAAGCTGAATCTTTATATGATAAAAAGTTTTAATTTTCAATATATTATGATAGTAAATTATCAACGAAATCAACTTTACCGAATTTGGACTATGTAGGCCAATTTTTCGGGTACCACCGTGCAAAAGGATTCCCAGAAAATGTAAATCCTTATATGCCAAAAAGGCCTAATTGCTAATGTTTTACGACAAATATTTGTTGATGTTAGTAATTTGACGTAAAAATTAAGTGAATCAAATTTGAACCGAATGGACCTGTTTCTTGAATCCCATTTCGTAGAAGATTTTTCAGCAATAGTAAACCCTTCAGGAAAAGATTCAATTCTACATATTTTATGATGAAAATTTTTCCAGAGTAGACAAAAAAAATTAGTGGTATGTAATTTGGATCATATAGGTCTATTTTCCAGGCGTTATTTATATAGGTTGACATGAAAAACAGGCCCTTCTATGAAGAGAAAGTCTGATCTCTAGTTTTTTTATGACGGAATGTGAAAAATAATATATTTTGGAAATAAATTATGTTTGCAAAATTTGTATTGATGTTTCGAACATCCTCCAATATGCTGGCTTTCAAGAAAATTAAGCATTTGTATAAAAAGAACGCGTAATTTTTGGTGTATTATAATCAATATGAGTGAATAATTGTACCAGGCGAAGTGATGTAGGGTCACTATTGCTCGACCTCGCCCGACTGTAATAACTTTATTCTTTTTTTTAATTTATAATAAAAATTAAACGGTAAAAGATACATGCGTGCATTTTCTGTTACTTAAGGTATTGGTTCGTGCCATTATTATTTAAAAATGATTTCGTGCATAAACGATTATCTCTGGACTTCTCCACAAGCTCAATCGCGCAATACAAATTTTTATGAGGAAATTTAACTTCATCCTATACAACTTGTGGTCCAAGGGTATATGAATTTTGTGCTGATATGTGCACCGTCCAGAAGGACTTGAGGTAGACCGAACTTTTATTATACCGATCGATTCAGAATTACTTTCCGATTTAACTTAATTGCGTCCGTCTGTCCGCGTTCAACCATCGAGATGTTTTAATGAAATTTGGCACACTGGCGTGTTTCGGCCCAAGGACGAAAGCTACTGACTATGGTTTGAACTCACCACATTATTACCCACTATATGCTGAAACGTCACCAGTAGGATGTAATAGTATTTTCTCTAATGACTTGCAAATTTTGGAACTAATAAAATTAATAATAGTTGAATAGTAGAATATGGATTGACAGTGTTTTAAAACGTTCAATAGAAGTGCCATAGCCGCCTGTAATTTTTTTCTTCTGTTTTCTTTTATTTTATTTTGTTTATGTTTATAAAAAATATATAATATTTCATCACAAGTGGCACTGGTTTCATTGATCACGTTTTACAAATTCTAAATTTTTATAAAACGTTTCGTGTCCTTTTTTAGACTAATACATGGCATCGTTTCTTTATAAATTGGGCGTTGCAGCATTAGGTACTACTGTCGGCTCTTCATTAGCGGGCTGGACATTTGATCGATGGAATCTTACTCGTAAGGTATTGAAAGGGGAAATTTGAAACTAATAGTCGTTTTCATGTCTCGTGATTTCAGGTCATTAATCCGCCATCGCGGCTACCAATCCACAGAAGTCATTTAATTTCGCGTGCAATGCAAATTCAGAATCTACAACGGGAATCTGAATTCGATGTGCTAGTCATAGGCGGTGGCCCTATGGGAGCCGGTTGCGCTTTAGATGCGGTTACCAGGGGTCTGAAAACGGCTTTGGTTGAGGCCGACGATTTTGCTAGTGGTACCTCATCCAAGTCAGCATCAACTAAGTTGATGGAAGATGGTGCGCAGTGTTTGCAAAAAGCAATGACAGAGGTGAGTCGAGCAAATTGTCATTATCCTCCCATCACGCATTTAGAAACATTTATAGCTTTTAATGCATTACAGTCGGATTACAAAAAACAATGCAGCATCGTTAAAGAGGTTTTGCGAGAGAAAGCCAGTTTATCAGAGTCGGCTCCACATTTAGTTCATCCTTTGCCCATTATGCTGCCAGTTTACGAGTAATTTTCGATAAAAAATTTTTGAAATGACTGCAAAAGAGATAAGCGCATGATTTGGATATTGTTTTTTTCTTTCTTTTTTTGTTTGTTGTGTGTAGATGGTGGCAAATACCTCTTTATTGGGTGGGTACCAAATGCTACGATTTGGCGGCTGGCGATCGTAATGTCAAAGGATCGTATTTCCTTTCGAAACGAGATGCTTTGGAATTGTTTCCTACGCTGAAAAAGGACAAATTAGTGGGTGCTATAGTGTATTATGACGGTATAGAACTCAGTTCTACGAACAAGAAATTCTTCATGAACATTTTTCTTTCTGTACAATTTAGGACAAGATGATGATGCGCGTATGTGCTTAGCTGTTGTGGTGACAGCTGCGCGTCACGGTGCCACTGTCTGCAATCACGTAGAGGTCTTGAAATTGTTAAAAAAAGATGATGGAAAGGGAGGTTACGTTTTATATGGTGTTGAGGTAATAGACCACATGAGCGGCAAGAAATTTATTATTAAAGCCAAGTGTGTAGTTAATGCTACGGGTTCGTTTAACAATTCTATACGGAAAATGGATGATCCTACGATTAGTATTTGCGATCCTAGTTCATGTGCACACATAGTACTGCCTGGTTATTATAGTCCGGAGCAGATGGGTTTACTAGATCCCTTCACCTCAGAAGATCGGGTTATATTCTTTTTGCCATGGCAAATGCATACGATTGATGGCACCACAGATACACCGCATGTAGTAAAGGAGAAACCTGCTCCATCCGATGACGGCGTACAATATATTCTAAATGAAATTCAAGATTATGTAAATTCGGACGTGGACGTAACACATGACGATGTATTATCGGTCTGGAGTGATATACCTCCTTCTCCTACAACTCCTTCTGTTGTGTCACAACCAAAAAAAGATGATACCCAGTTATGGACGCATAATCATACTATTCATATCAGTCCTTCTAATTTAATTACCGTAGCTGGTGATAAAGTTACCACTTCCAGAGCAAGGGCTGAGCGTGTTATAGACACCGCGGTTGAAGGTATAAAGGTGTATTAATAGCTCTATGTACATGCTAATTACATTTTAACTGTTTTTATAAAATATATAAAGTTTGCGACTTAAAACCATGGTCTAAGTCGATAAGAAATACTTTGAAGATTGAAAATGGCCAAAACTGGTCACCTACTATGTATGCACGTTTAGTGCAAGGTTACGGTTTGGAATATGAAGTGGCACAACATTTGGCCAAATTGTACGGGGATCGTGCATTCGAAGTTGCAAAAATGGCTTCTCTCACTGGCAAACGTTGGCCCATCGCTGGCAATCGTATACATCCTGATTTCCCCTGTATCGATGCGGAAGTACGTTACGGTGTTCGTGAATATGCTTGCAATGCCGTTGATATGATAGCACGACGCTTACGTTTATCATATTTAAATGTTCAGGCGGCCCAAGAATCATTACCCAGAATTTGCGATATAATGGCTGAAGAATTGAACTGGTCTAACGAAGAGAAGAAGGTTAATTTCAAATTATATCACATTCAATTTCCGATAATTTATCGAATTTTGTTCTCTAAAAGAAACAAATTAAAAAAGCCAAGCAATATTTGGCCCTCGAAATGGGTCAAGCAACTAAACGCAATCGTGCCAAACATCAGATGTATTTGAATTTAAGTAAAGAAGAAAAAGAACTATGTGCTAAGCGCTTCGAACGTCTTGATAGAGACGAAAAGCACTCAAGAGGTTTTAAGGTAAAAACTTAACGCAGTTATATTTTCATCTATAGGATAAAATTGTATCGTTACAGCAAGGTTTCGGTGATTGTGATTTTTCCGATGATATTCTTAAAGACATCGATGTTAACGTCATTGGCGATTATCTGAAAATAAAAAGACATTGTTAGCAAAATTGCTTGAGCCATAAGTTACGATGCTTGGTAATGTGAAGCTGTAGATGTTTGCAATTGAATTACGTGAAGTGTAAGAGCCAACTAATGTTTTGATATAAACCGATATGACAGCACTGAAAGAAGAAACTAACCAATGGAAAAGTAAAATTGCGTATATTCACTATGACGAAGGATTATAAGACACTTGAAACCATTAGAGAAGACACTTAAACGGAACGAAATAGGGAACTGGGTTTGCGTTTTTATACAAAGATTTAGATACCATAACCTCAAATGTATTTTTAAAATTTAGGATTCGATTGCTTTAACCTTTTTCTGCACGCATGTATTGTTTAAGTTTACGAAATATGAAACTGTTTTATGGAAGATGTTTCTCTGTAGACATTGGGAATGTACATTAATTTTTGTAGTTTTCAATAAAATTAAATCTTTATAGAAAGCAAATGGAACGAGATATTTTATTCGTGTTACCCATGAAATTGAATGTATGCAGAAAAGGTTTTAGTGATCATAAAACAAGTAAGAATGTTACAGTCGTGCAAGGCCGACCATTATATGTTCTACAGCGCTTCGCCTAGTGTACTTACTCACTAGTTTTGATAATAATATACCAACAATTACATATTATTCGCATGCGAAAGCTCGCGGATTGAAGGAGGCCGAAAACATCACATGGCGCGATCCATATTCAGTGTACTTAATTTACTTTTAAAAATTGTTAATTTTTCGATTTTTTTCATAAAAAACTAGAAGTTGGTGTCTCTCTCCACAGGCGGGCTTGCTTTTCATGAAAATCGCTATGAATGTTGCGATGTAAAAAATAGACTGAAGTGATCCAAACTCTCAGACGTTAATTTTTTGTTATTATATAACAATTTTCGTCATAAAATATTAAAAGTCAAATCACTTCCTAGGGGAGAAACCTTATGTGGACTGGGGTCCAAGAACTAGTCTATACGGTTCAAATTTCGTCCGCTTAATTTTTATGTCAAATGAACAAATTTTCATCGTAGAACATTAACAATTAAGCTGTTTTGACATATAAGAGTTTACATGTCCAAAGATTCCTTGAATGCGGTGGTATCCAAAAAATAGACCTATGTGGTTCAAATTCAACAAAGTTGATTTCTTTGTCAATTTACTATTACGAAATGTTGAAAATTAAACCTTTTTATCACAAAGAAATTTTGAAAATTGCGATTTTTTCCGTATAACAACTTTTCAAAATGATGGGAAGTGATGAAGGAATTGAACCCATGTGAACCGTTTTTAACTTTGGTCCTTTGGCCAGTATACCAAATTTCTTCAAAATATTTCAAAAATTGCAACCTGTAGGTTGGACACAAAATTAAACGGAGGGGCAGACAGTCAAACAGACAGGTGGACAGAAAACCAAAAAAAATGATTCCGGGTTAATCGTTATAATAGAAAGTGAGTCTATTTTAGGTCCTCCTGGATGCTTCATACTTCTCTTACAACTCCTTTATCAACTTAAGACCAAACTTAAAATGACCTGTACCATCTTAAACTTAAAGTTCCTATTTTACCAAAACGTCACTTGCCCACGGACGCCCCGGACGATTTCTTATCCCTACTAAATCGGATTTCTTTTTTTCGTCGCGCGGTCCTAACGGATAATGGCGGATCTCAGTTCTCTGGTGTTTACCTTACCTCAATGGCGCTTCGGTCAACAAGAAAACGGAATCAACAAGTCGGAAGTACTCTTCTTCTTGTCTTAACGTTCGATTGGCGTTGCCTAGCCACGATACTGTACTTTTCAACGCTCTCCTTGCGGCGATACAGTATTGGGCAGTACCAGCGAGTACTAACCTAATGATCCGTCTAAGTGTCCCTACGTCAATACATCCCTATTAAATCAATTCACATGAATTTGCTTCTGTTTTTCCTCGATTGACCCACCAAATTCTAAGGCCCTCCGCGTACTCAATAGTTTTGCTTCGTGCCCTTCAACTTCTTGTTATGCAGATTGTAACTGTAACTGTACTTCAAAGTTTCAATTTTCGAGTTGGAATTTTCTTTGCACTTCATAATATCTTTCAAACTTCTTATTGCTTTTTCGTATTGATGCTGAGAGTGCAAGAATATAAGATTCACTGACTAGTCGTTCAATGTTTTTGAAAACCTCTTTGTTGAAATCGCTTTGACGATAACCAATCGTAGCAATGCTCATAGAACTTGTGTGAATGTTCGCAGGCTTCACAGATATAGTATAGATGAGCTTTTAAATAACTCACGATAAATAGTGTTCGACCACATCTCCAGTGCAACAGTGTGTCAAAAACACAGTGTTGAGAAAAGCTATTATACACGTATCTCTATCAGAGAGATTCAGTTGTAGTTGTTCCGTTTTTAGGGGTGAAAATTGTGTTAGTACCAATTTTCTCATCGATTCCTTGCGGCTAATTTCTTAGAAGTATTGAAGAAAGTGCCCTTATTATAGTTTCTTGGAAAAGCCTCCTAAAACCCTTTAAGTCCATTCCATCACTTTTAGTTTTCCCTGTGTCTTTCCTTGTGCTCTTGTTGCAAAATGACCCACATCCGTAGGTTCAAGATTTGTACGAATCGCAAAGCCAAACTGATTTCAGCGCGTCACTTCAAACGGCCACAAAGAAAGAATGTGGAGAAGTATCACACAAGCGATTGGCTATGCTTATCCAGTATTGGCACGTTTTGGGCTTTGTACTATTGGAAATTAAACTAATTTAACGAAGCGAAATAAGAGTACGTTTGAATAACATAGTAATAGCATATAATAATGAAATAGTATAAAAACTGACTTATAGATATGTACAATATGTAGAACTTTATACTTATAATACTCAATAAAACGCAGGTTCTTTAAGTAACAATTTATCAAAAACGCTTTTTCTTTATGCTTAACAATGCATAATTTTGCTAAATTTTGGAATGGTTAAGATTGGTTAAGATTGGTTAACTTCGACATTTTTGTTCGTGAACAATTTCAATCACCTTTGATATACAGTGGAAGTGCCTTGCCAATTGTTTGCAATGTAGGCCTACACCATTATAAACTTAAGTGAACAATCATACTATATGTATATAGATAAATATATAAATAAAAGCATTGCGACCTGATATACATCGCAGGCTTAGTCGAACATCTTGTTGACCTCTAGTGTTGGGAACGCCGGCTCCAGGTATGTTGAGCTGAGGATTAAGTTGTTTCTCTGATCCTTCGCTACTTGTTCACCGTTCACTTCCTCCGCTAGTTGATGCTTCCACTTCCTGGCCTCGATTTGCCTTCAATACAGCATTTTCGGCTTTGGGCTGTTCGATCTGTCGTACCAGCTCCGCCTCCTTCGAAATGGTTGGTCATCTGTATTATACGTACTTTCTAATATATTCCTTAACATACATACGGGGCTAGATGCCGTTGTACATATGGTATTATCGTCCCATTCTGTTTTCTACTGATATTTCTTCGTCTATGTCCATTCTGTTTCTGCTTCGTCTACGTCTCGTTGTCTCATTGCTCCTGCACATAATTCTTGTAAATCTGGCACAAAATGTTTGCCTATTTTGTCAATGTTGTCAAACCCTAAGAAGTCCATGTCGACAGTCACAATCCGTCCATTCGTATAATCCTGTAATTAGTCCGTCAATTCCGCACTCGTCCTCGCCAACCCCAACTCCCTCGCGTACCAAATATAATCTGCTAATGTTGAGCGACCGCTACCGCTCCTACACAACCTCCTTAAACTACGTCTAATGGTTCTAATTTTTTTCATAACTGCTCGGTCACTAACTGGCCAGCTATCGCCGTCAGTCTGTCAGCAAATCTCTTGCATTGTAACTTGCGAGGCCTAAGTCCGTCAACACTCCACGTCTCTGGGTGTTGACGCAACAACTTACTAAAAACTGGGTTCGCTATGTTTGCCATATATAAAGATAAAATGAATATGTATCTATAAAATATAATATAATTAATATAATATAAATGAAATAAATATATATATTAATAAAACCTGAAAAGAAAAAATACGAAAATTAAGATATAAGAACATTTGCTCAGATATATTTTTCTTGTTTAATGTTAGTAATATAAAAATAAAACAATGATCAATTATTTTTAATTGCAATTTATTTATATAATAATATTACATTTTTTACATTTTTTTAAATTATTATTTTAGGTTATTTTAGATTAGAATTACACACCAAATCTTATAGACTAAAAGCAATCAGCACCGCCTTTTATTTATTTATTTATTTATTTTTAAACACGATGAATTGTTTTGTAGACCTTTCATCAACCTCTAAACGGAACACTTTGCAGCTATCATCAACCTGCGAAGGTTCCTTCAAAGTAAACGATTTTTATTATTTTGAATAATATGATATAATAAGGGATTCCGGTGAATCTAAATTACAATGCTCAAGAGAGCCCATAACAAATAGAAAAAAAACTCAATAAACTGTAAGCCATTTATTGAAGCTCGTGTTAATCGGAAGACATAATGTGTATTGTGATAATAACGTGGACTGTAAAACATTAGAAATAATGTCTGGATAATTCAAACAAAATATTATAGTCAGCTACGATAATGAGTGTAAAAGTAGATACCATAAAAGTTCATATCCTCTTTTTTGTTGATACACGAACTATTTCATACCAAGTATTAAAATTAATTCAGTTTTTATTAGAAAAAACTGGTATTTCATAGGCCATCCAATCTATTTTAGTAAAACTTGAATACATTGAAAAGATACAAAATTTGTTTCATTGGTATGCGTGAGGAATAATAAATTCTCTTAAAATTTGTAAAAAAAATTGTTTCATGGTATGTAAAAAATATAAAATTTTCTGGTTAATTCTGTTGACGAATAAATAATATTTTTACTTTTCTTCTCATTGAACCTTCCAGTCAACATTCGCACATAAAATTACTAAAAGTTGACCAAGACGCTTTATCCTTTACAAACATGCGCTTCCTTTTGACCGAATTGTCGTACCGCCACGAAAGACAGAAACTCCATTAAGATAAAAAAATTTGCATATATGAGCATACATACTCGATATAAAGGCATATATTTATATATATGGCTGTAAAAAATAGCGTAACTACTTTGCCCGGTACTAAAAGTCGTATATTTTTCCTGCGGCGATTGCTTCGTAATAACGAATTTTTTTTTTTCTACAATTTTCAACTTTATTCACGAACATAGTCTTCTTTAAGACTGGTACAGCCGGCCCACTGTTTCTTTGACCTTTTGATGCCTTTTTTGTAAAACGTTTTATCAAAATTTTCAAAATAGCTATGCAAAGTTTTGCCCTGCAGGATCCCTTTGTATAAGCGTGGTGCCGCTTTTTTTCTTGTTCACGTCCAAATCTCCTATTACCTTGTTATTATCACAAAATAATTTTTAGATTACAGCATTTTTCCATAGCTATATTATAGAATATTGAAATTGCATTTTATTAGCAAAACGGTTCCAGCATCCAGAAAAAAGCTTCAGAAACCATGTAAAGTCTGCATATTATTGATCAGTACTAAGCCGCGATGAATGTAAAAGGCTTGGTCGTGGTCGACAAAAAGTTTCTTAGTTGTTATTTATATGAATTTTAAAGCAATACCCTACATAATTTCGATGTATTTTATGTTATCTCACAAAAATTTCATATAGTTTACGTAATTGGAAAAAGTTTTATATAAAATTTTATTATGGTTTAGGTACATACGCACATAATACGTGGGCGATGATCCAAAAAATAAATAAAAAAAATAAAAAATTGCACTGTATTCAAAAATTTTATATCCGCAATTAATTTTATTGAAACGAATTGACAAAATTCTCAACAAACCATGTAAATTAAATTATTATGCAGTACAACGGCATACGACGTTTGGTCGATGGCAAGAGATAAAGAAAAGTTAACAAACGAAACAATTTTATACACACTCTGTAACAAGTTGAATGTAAAGTAGGTAATTAGGTGAAATAATCACCAGTTATAAAGACTTCAAATTTGGCAGAAATATTGAAAGTTTTTGCATGCTGGCTTGTTGGAAGCGAATCATGTCAAACGAAGGGCACGCCTACCGCACTACGTAAACTGAGAACATCTCTGTTTTCCAAAAGGAATTACAAATTGGTTTTGTGTCCATTACTCATTATCTACAGCAGATTACGAAAATTTTAACACATATCCTGGTGCTGCAGCACCTGTACAAAAATGGAAAAATCTGACCGCGCCTACCCAGTGTTAGGGTGTATAGAAATTTAATACATTTTTCAACATTCCTATAACGTGAAGAAATAAGCTTCGAAAATCCGACAAAGTGTTTAAATTTTTGGTCAGGTTCAAATTCGAGATGCACCGAGGCATGTCCGTCCATTCGGTTATCGGTTTGCGGAACTGTGTAGTATCAGTGATAAATATTCTCCCGTTAGCGAAAATTAAGGTACTAAGGTAGCTAAGGTACTAACTGTGCTATCTTTTTTTAAATTTTCCTTTAGAAGAACTCACGTACGAAGTAATTATTAAATAGAACACAAATGAGGTATAGTATACCCACATCCTATATTAGCAAACGGTTGATTCATATATCTCTGTATGTTTTTCGCTATGAATTGAAAGTACAATACAATACATTTGTATTACAAATGTACAACACATGACATACTTCGGATTGTCCAATTAAAAAGCAAAAGATTAATTCTCAACAACTAAACATTTTGTTACGCAATAATTTATTTCATAAGGAATGTGCAGAATAATTTTCTGCATTTGAACATTACTTTCCATTTCTCTGCACACAATCTGCATGCAATAACAATGATTGACATATTCTCTGTTCTTAATGCAGATTCTGGAAAAGCAATGGCTAATATAATATAAATAATACGGCGGCACACATATTTGTAATTATAATGCCGCCAATATGAATGCAGGTGTACAATAAATATATTTACAATTAATTATTAACTTCCTCACTCATTCAATCATTTGTTTATTCATTCATTTATTTGCTCTTTCATTATGTTCTTTTAAAAAAGAGAACTACTTCCAACAAAAATACATATACATGTAAAATATTTCATCCTTCGGTGAAATAGTTGATAAGTGGTTGTATGTTAATGCTAATAATTGCTGGCAACTAAAGACACCGTCGAGATTTGATATACATATAAAAAAACTATACGTGCGTCTTTATATTTTTATTTCACCATTTTTTACCTAATTATTTTGTGATAGATTTTGTTCAATTTCTCAATTTTTCAATTCGAATCACTTCTTTTTGCGCTTGCCAAATTTCTTTTGTTTCACAGAATGCCGTTAGCTGGTCTTTTTCTTTACACCGTTTATGAAAAAAAAGTACCATGTGTGGAGAATGAAAAGCGCACAGAGTTGCTTTTAATAAATAAATTTAAGAAAAATGATGAAAAAAAGCAATAATAAGGTAAAAAATGGCAAACATACAAAGAGAAAAATGTTTCTACTATTTATTATCAACCACGTCGATATTTGCTTATTTCGTTTATCAAAGTTATGGACAACTGTGACGCCTTCATAATATTTAACAAGAAGTTTTCTTGAATAATATAAATAGGATAAGATTTATGTTATAAAAAAAAAAATAAATAAATAGGCTCAGAGCACTGTCTGAAGGAAACTTTAGCACTCTCTTGGATGCAATTAACAACTGCTGGTCCACTAACTTTATACCCTCAGATTTGCGATGCATCAAAATAGTTCCCATCCCATTAAATGGTTTAAGTAACTTCAGACCAATTTCACTAATATCTGTATTCGTAGGGATTATCAACCTCATGTTTAAGGAGAGACAAAGTGATTTCTTGAAAACTGAGAATGTTATTACAGAACGATCTTTTCTCATAGCCAGCTTAAAAAAATCAGGTAAAATGGTTGCCATGCTTTCCATGGACATCAGCGAAGCCTATGACTGTGTCAACTTGATTGAGCTTGGCAGAATTCTCTTAAACTTTTCGATTCCTCTTCAAATACGGCTGTGGATACTTAATTTTTTATCCAAGCGTGTGTTGGTGATGGCTACTGAAAAAGTTGAAATATATGGCTGTATCCCACAAGGCAGTTGTTTAAGCCCCATGCTCTTCAATTTATACACAGCTTCTTTGCATAATCCTCAAGATGATAAAACTCATATTTTTTAATATGCAGATGATTTCCTAATTGCATCTGCGGACTCATCTTTTTCAGCTGTTGTCAATAATCTGTCGATGAAAGGTTTTTTTTTTCGATGCATGCGCTGATCTTAATTTATACTTTAACTCCTGCAAAACAAGTATTTATTTTGCCAAAGGTTCTAAACGTGAAATCAGGCTCTTTATCAAAGGTACTAAAGTTGATCAGGTGAAATCTCTTCAGTTTCTTAGTAGAATTTTAAATGACAGCTTAAACCTTCGTGCGCATTATTAGAAAGCCTTTAAAGACTGTCAATCTGGATGTAACATCATCAAACTCATGACTAACAATCAGTCAGGCTTGCCTCCCAAAAACGCTCTAACTGTATACAAATCTTTAGTCAGGTCCAAAATCGAATTTACACATTCCACATGTTGAAAATCTAATGTTAAAACGTATTACTGGACTGATTCCCTATAAGGACGTTATGCCAAGAAAAGGATCCTTTTTATTACAACAACGGCTACGATATATATGCCATCGACGGTTCCGTCGGGCTTAATGTATCTGGCTTCTCGGTTGTGAAACATCTATCTAAAACAATCCATCGAGTCAAAGTGACGGAGGAACTTTCCCCGACTTTTATTGAATTGCTCGCCATCCGACAT